CCGTCCGTCCGTCCGCCCGCCCGCCCGCCCGCCCGCCCGCCCGCCCGCCCGCCCGCCTGTCTAATCTAATCTTATCTTATCTTATCTTATCTTATCTTATCTTATCTTATCTTATCTTATCTTATCTTATCTTATCTTATCTATCTATCTATCTATCTATCTATCTATCTATCTATCTATCTATCTATCTATCTATCTATCTATCTATCTATCTATCTATCTATCTATCTATCTATCTATCTATCTATCTATCTATCTATCTATCTATCTATCTATCTATCTATCTATCTATCTATCTATCTATCTAATCTATCTTATCTATCTTATCTATCTTATCTATCTTATCTATCTATCTATCTAATCTATCTATCTATCTATCTATCTATCTATCTATCTATCTATCTATCTATCTATCTATCTATCTATCTATCTATCTATCTATCTATCTATCTATCTATCTATCTATCTATCTATCTATCTATCTATCTATCTATCTATCTATCTAATCTATCTAATCTATCTAATCTATCTAATCTATCTAATCTATCTATCTGTCTATCTATCTGTCCGTCTGTCTGTCTTGTCTGTCTCGTCTGTCTTGTCTGTCTTGTCTGTCTTGTCTGTCTGTCGGTTGTTCGGTCGGTCGGTCTGTCTGTCTGTCTATTTGACTGTCTGTCCATCCATCTATCCATCCATCTGCCTGCCTACCTAGGTTCTCTTCTGTTAAGCGACCATTTCACACGACTTTTTGGGAAATCCCATAATATGCGGGCGGGGGAGAGGGTGGGGGGGGGGGGGGGGTTATAGTTAGTACCAGTATTTAACACTAGTCCTAGCCCACCTATACTTTGGTATTTCCTTTAATCTGGCGTGATGTCGTCGCTTAACAGAAAAGAACTCCTTATGTCTGTCTGTCTGTCTGTCTGTCTGTCTGTCTGTCTGTCTGTCTGTCTGTCTGTCTGTCTGTCTGTCTGTCTGTCTGCCTGCCTGCCTGCCTGTCTGTCTGTCTGTCTGTCTGTCTGTCTGTCTGTCTGTCTGTCTGTCTGTCTGTCTGTCTGTCTGTCTGTCTGTCTGTCAAGTCTGGTTATTTCACTTGCATTAGTCTTTCACACTGAGAACTACGAGAATAAAACCAAGTCAGGAAAAGTAAGTGACCTAAATTTGCGAAAAAGGTGGCCGTAGTTGTTTGATCCGGCTTGTGACCCTTACTCATCAATGGCATTTTTATCAAAACCCAAGCTAAGCTGACAAAAAACCCAAGCAATACATACACAAATACACAGAGAATGATCAAAAGTACACATTTAATAATCACAAAAGAAAACATTTACCCACTTTTATAAATATATTTAAACATAAGATTCCAAAATCTGAACCAAATCCGTCATATAAAAACCCCAGATCTTGGGGGAAGGGGGGGAGGGGTGAATGAGGTTTTGCGGCTTTGCTTGTCAGACCTGAAGACCCATCCCTTTATTGGTATCTGCAAACAGAGATGCGAAATCCAGATTGCTTTCAGGACCCACCCAGCTGACCGGCTATCAGGGCAAGCATCTCGTTATCGTAAACACCACTGTGTCTACCGGAAGTGCGCAATTGACACGTGACCGAGGCCCTGTTTTTGGGCGCTATCGGCCGCCATCGTTTGTGCCCGTTATTCGGAGGATAGCCTGTACTTGCAATAATCACTTATGTAACTAGTTGCGTATTCTTTACAGGGCGTTGTGGAACCAGCCCCAGCATCTTTCGGCTATTGTGGTTTATTTACGCAAAATGTTACGTACAGTACTTTACCATTGTCGACGTCTGTGGGATAGCCGTGGTACCGAGTTCGATCCCAGCTTCGGGCCTTGCGCCCTGCCTTCGTTTCCACAGTGGTATCGAGAAGCCGACCGTCCAGAGGCAATGGCAAACTACTGGACGTAAACTTGCCTAGAAAAACCACAACAGCTAAAAAAAAAAGGCTGGGGTTGGTTCTGCAAAGTCCTGTAAAGGATACGCAACCAACATTTCTTAGTTTACCATTGCTTTCCAAACGGTCTGCTCTCGTTACAATTGTTGAAAACAACGCAAGGGGAAAAGTTTCCTGCAGCTTGGATTGAACCCGGCACCCCAGCATTACGAAGCATGTTCGCAATACCTAAGCCACAGACTCTGACAGTTATCACTTATACTAACGTTCATTTTTGTCAGTTAAATTATCTATGAAATATTTTTTTAAAACAAAAACACGCACACACGCACACACACACACACACACACACACACACACACACACACACACACACACACAGGGCAAGGACGTGTTTGTTTTCATGAGCAGTGTGTGCGTACACCGTTAAAATTGTAACTGGAACTAATAACGAGCCCAGCTCCGCCCATCTATACACTATGTCACCTTTCATTGATGCTTGGTCAGGCTGATCCACGCTGCTCAAGGTGACAGGGGTGTCCTGGTTTGCTGCTGTAGATTGCACTCTCTCGTGGGACCTAGGTTCAGTTTGTGGGGGAGGCGGTTAGGGCCAGTTGTTCATGTTATGGAGTCGTTAAAGCTGCTCATATCCTATTATATAGAGCACGCGAGGTGGCCGTTAGGAGCGTCGACCAAGCTTACATCCCTGCCTCTTACACTTGGGCGTCTCAAGGTGGAGACTGAACGTCCAATCACAGTGTCTGGCTGGACTAAGTCAATCATAAGTGTCTGGGTGGGCGGAGCTGGGCCTGAGTTCGTCACGTGTACATTCTAATAAATAAAATAGCACTTGCATTAAATTGCAATTTTAATCTGGAGGAGGGCGTATGGGTATGGTCGTATATTTGAGATGGTCCCTGGGGGTTATGGGGGGAAGGTGGAAAAAAGGGGAATGGCACAACCTGAAAAAAAAAGCTTACAATCAATGAACTTTACATTGTTATTCCTAGGGCGATGACTCATACAAAACAACGGTGCTGTACCCCCATAAAACATTTTTCAAGGGCGAAAGCGGCTCAAGGGGCATAGGTCCAGTCTAAGAGCTTTATGTAAATAATAATAATGATAATAATATTATTAATAATAATAATAATAATAATATGAAGAAGAAAAAGAAGAAGAAGAAGAAGAAGAAGAAGAAGAAGAAGAAGAAGAAGAAGAAGAAGAAGAAGAAGAAGAAGAAGAAGAAGAAGAAGAAGAAGAAGAAGAATATGCTGAACGGCAAATCAATACAATGCCGTGTGAAATAATTATTATGCAACAACAACAACAAACACATATACACACTCGCATACGCACACACACACGCACGCATGCTCGCACGTACGCACGCACGCACAAAGATGCACACACACCCACACACACACACCCACGCAAAACACTTAATGGCCGGAAGAATCATTATGATTCCTTGAATAGCCAACAAGAGCACCCCAGGTGTTTCGAAAAAGGCCAGCGCTGGAAACCAACTTTCTACAAACATCAGAAAAAGACCCCGGGTCATGTTATGAGAAACAGAAGGGATGGGGAGGAGGGTGAAGTGAAGCTGAGTCGTCTCTAGGTGTCCGGCTTGAGTGCTGGGGGTCCTGGGTTCAAGCTCCTGTAAAGGCAGGGATTTTTTCAAGAAAACTTCAAGTAATCCCCTCTGCTCACTGGGTAGTAAGATCGGTCGCCCGAGTGTATTGTCGTGAACGAGAAAAATCCCCTGGCAATTGAAAATCGAAAAGAGTGGCCTGACGGCGCTGCCGGAGTAAAATTTGGAGCTAATAATCTACCCAAAAGTATATTAAGATCCTCGCCAGTGCTACCGAGTTCGTGCACTGCGCTGAGGGACTTCGGACTTAGACTTGAGTTAGAAGTAAAACGGAACACTTATGGGTTACTAACCTAATGCCACGATGTTGATCCGTTCTATAAACCATGAACCAGGAGAAGAATGAAGGTAAAACATGCTGTGACAACTGGAACGATCTGTGGGGAAAAGACACAAAGGAAGACAGCACGAGCCGATTCTCTGACAGCCCTTGTTCAATGCATGGATATGTGTCCCATAAGCACTCTGTCCTCATCTTCAGCAGCAAGCGAAGAATTACAATCCTGATGGTACCAGTAAGTGTTTGACTGTACAATGCGTCTACCCCTTCCGTTTGAGTGTTGGGCGTCGACCAGATCCCCTGGTAACTCCCCGCAGTGGCCATCTCCTCAGGCCGTATTGATCTATTAGTGCCTCCACACTCTTAGCTCGCTCCTGAAGAGCCGTCAACATAACTAGCTTGTCGCACATCAGTTCCACACCAAATGGTGCAGTCTATCTGCCTGCTCATCTGCCAACACACAGGCATGTCCTGAAGAAAATATCCTAAGGACGCTAACTAGTCGGTACCTCTAAAGCGATGCTTGCCGCTCTGCACGGAGCATGCCTGTCTCAGCCTTTCTCAACATGCTGTATGAGTCAGTTACAATGACGCCATGTGTATACAGCTGAATCTCAATCCAGCAGAAGGCAACAGTGACTGCCTCCACCTGCATTCTCAAACTAGACGTTGACTAGTGGGAGAAGAATACGCTCACGCCCTCCCTCCTCTCCCCTCCCCCGTGACTGCAGTCTGTAGGATTAAAATCTCATGGATTAGTATCATACAGGAGCCAAATCTTGGAAACCTCGTTTTACCTATTGGTTTTTTGGACACCCAGCCCTAATGCAAGTTCCACGCAGTAACTGCCCAAACAGTTTTACTTTAAACCCTCTAGTTACAGCCCCTGGAACTTCTCGCTGATGTTTATTCTCCGGTCCCACGTGTCTGGTCAGTCTACTGACAATACATCGACCTGGCCGCCTCGAGTTGCAGAGCTAGGTGATTTTTTTTTTTTTTTGTATTTGTGTGGTATTGTTTTTATTGATGTATGTGTTCACGTTTTGTTTGTGTTCGTTATACTGTAAAGCTTGCTGATATACTTTTCCATCTATTCTATTTCTTTTCCTGATAATGTAGGTTCCGCCACTGACACATGTTCACTCTTTCTACAGGCACCAGAGAGCAAGCTTACGTCTACGGGATTTCTTCCTCGGCGCTAGTCCATTCCATATCTCGAGCCTGCAGTATAGGCGTCACCAGCAAGTGTAGCTGTGGCAGTCTGCCCACGACGCCACCCAATGGTAACTTTAAAGTAAGTAACTAGGTTAGCTCGTGTGTCTGTCTGTCTGTCTGTCTGTCTGTCTGTCTGTCTGTCTGTCTGTCTGTCTGTCTGTCTGTCTGTCTGTCTGTCTGTCTGTCTGTCTGTCTGTCTGTCTGTCTGTCTGTCTGTCTGTCTGTCTGTCTGTCTGTCTGTCTGTCTGTTCTCTGTCTTTCTCCCTGCGAGCCAGCACGCCTGCCTGAAGAAAGAGAGATAGAGTAAGGCAAGGTGAGAAGGTTCTAGACACGGCAATTGTCCTTTCGTGTTGGGGTGTCAGGACATTGAGCTGATGAATGATGTTGGCGATCGTAGATTGTGGAGAGGCATAGTCACTCATGATGATGGTGGTTATGAGAACAATGATAATATTGAAGATGATGACGGTGATGGCGACGTAGACGACGACGATAATTATGACTGACAACCGAAAGGCTGAGAAACTAAATGAGGCAGTGTTTAACAGAAAGATTATGGTTTGATGCCCGGAGCAAGATCGTATGGCAGTCACAGTGTTATCAATTTTACCTTGGTGTTTGAAACAGTTAATGGAAGACATTGGTTTATATGAAACAGGTATTGAAAGACATTGGTTTATAAGTAACACATTAAATTTACAAACGATGCATTGCTCTCAAAATGTTTACTGCGATATCTTTTTTTGCTGCTTAACTATTATGTTTGAATACGTTTATTCTGTAATTTATCCAGTCGCTTTTTTAAGTACACCATTTCCCTTGTTCCTTATACTGATGAAGTCTTTCTGGCCGGAACGTTAATTTTTTGTTTGTATGTTATTACGGTATTGTGACTTTGATTAGTTATATTTATCGTTTTCTAAAAACAATTTTGAAAATAAATATTGAGTCATTGCTGGCGATTGTATCGTCAGCCATGCAGTCAGAATGGATACGACAAGGCACCCTCATCAAGCCCTCATTTGGACACCCGAAAGGAAAAGAAAGCGGGCAAAGACCAAAAGAGACCCTGTCTAGAACCATCATCAGGGAAAACCCAACCATGGCCCTAATGAACATGCAAGACCTAAAACAGGTGGCAACGATCCGCCACAATAAGAGAAGTATGACCTCAGCCCAAAGTGCACACTAGGCCCAAGAGGAAAGACTTAACTAACTGATCATTGCTAGTTGCTTTTGTTTTAAATGTCACTTTCTTTTTGTCGTTGTTGGTTGAATTTTTGTCTTGATGTTTATCGTGTCATTGCTGGTTGATTTTGTTTCTTGATGTTTTTTGTGTCCTTGCTGGTTGATTTTGTTTCTTGATGTTTATTGTGTCCTTGCTGGTTGATTTTGTTTCTTGATGTTTACTGTGTCCTTGCTGGTTGATTTTGTTTCTTGATGTTTATTGTGTCCTTGCTGGTTGATTTTGTTTCTTGATGTTTATTGTGTCCCTGCTGGTTGATTTTGTTTCTTGATGTTTATTGTGTCCTTGCTGGTTGATTTTGTTTCTTGATGTTTACTGTGTCCTTGCTGGTTGTTTTTGTTTCTTGATGTTTACTGTGTCCTTGCTGGTTGATTTTGTTTCTTGATGTTTACTGTGTCCTTGCTGGTTGATTTTGTTTCTTGATGTTTTTTGTGTCATTGCTGGTTGATTTTGTTTCTTGATGTTTTTTTGTGTCATTGCTGGTTGATTTTGTTTCTTGATGTTTACTGTGTCATTGCTGGTTGATTTTGTTTCTTGATGTTTTTTTTGTGTCATTGCTGGTTGATTTTGTTTCTTGATGTTTACTGTGTCCTTGCTGGTTGATTTTGTTTCTTGATGTTTATTGTGTCATTGCTGGTTGATTTTGTTTCTTGATGTTTATTGTGTCCTTGCTGGTTGATTTTGTTTCTTGATGTTTTTTGTGTCCTTGCTGGTTGATTTTGTTTCTTGATGTTTACTGTGTCCTTGCTGGTTGATTTTGTTTCTTGATGTTTACTGTGTCCTTGCTGGTTGATTTTGTTTCTTGATGTTTACTGTGTCCTTGCTGGTTGATTTTGTTTCTTGATGTTTACTGTGTCCTTGCTGGTTGATTTTGTTTCTTGATGTATACTGTGTCCTTGCTGGTTGATTTTGTTTCTTGATGTTTATTGTGTCATTGCTGGTTGATTTTGTTTCTTGATGTTTTTTTGTGTCATTGCTGGTTGATTTTGTTTCTTGATGTTTACTGTGTCATTGCTGGTTGACTTTGTTTCTTGATGTTTTTTTGTGTCATTGCTGGTTGATTTTGTTTCTTGATGTTTACTGTGTCCTTGCTGGTTGATTTTGTTTCTTGATGTTTATTGTGTCATTGCTGGTTGATTTTGTTTCTTGATGTTTATTGTGTCATTGCTGGTTGATTTTGTTTCTTGATGTTTATTGTGTCATTGCTGGTTGATTTTGTTTCTTGATGTTTATTGTGACCTTGCTGGTTGATTTTGTTTCTTGATGTTTATTGTGTCCTTGCTGGTTGATTTTGTTTCTTGATGTTTTTTGTGTCATTGCTGGTTGATTTTGTTTCTTGATGTTTATTGTGTCATTGCTGTTGATTTTGTTTCTTGATGTTTATTGTGTGATTGCAGTGGGGTGGCTGTGGCGACGATGTCCAGTTCGGGCTGTTGTTTGGGGAGACGTTCACAGACTCTACACTAGTGAACAAGAAGGGTAAAGCAAAGACATCAAAGAAGTCTATGATGAACAAGCATAACTTTATGACTGGGAGAAGGGTATGTATACTTTCTTCTTGGCAGACAGACAATCAGACAGACAGACAGACAGACAGACAGACATGTAGATAAGTAGGTAGATAGGTATGCATATAAACTGGTAGGCAGATAGACATATGGATAGAATAATCGACTGATAGACAGGAAGCCAGACAAAAGAAGAAGAAGAAGAAGATAGCGATGGACATACAAGTAGAGATAATGGGAACGAGGGTGCGCAAAAAAAAGAAGGGAGTCAAGGAGATGGAAAGAATGATGGCAGAAACAGATATGCAAAAATAACAAATCTTTATCTCCTTCTTCTTATTTTTTTTCCGTTTATTTTTTTCCTTTTTCTTCTTCTTCTTCTTCTTCTTCTTCTTCTTCTTCTTCTTCTTCTTCTTCTTCTTCTTCTTCTTCTTCTTCTTCTTCTTCTTCTTCTTCTTCTTCTTCTTCTTCTTCTTCTTCTTCTTCTTCTTCTTCTTCTTCTTCTTCTTCTTCTTCTTCTTCTTCTTCTTCTATTTCTTCTTCTTCTTCTTCTTCTTCTTTCTTCTTCTTCTTCTTCTTCTTCTCTTCTTCTTCTTCTTCTTCTTCTTCTTCTTCTTCTTCTTCTTCTTCTTCTTCTTCTTCTTCTTCTTCTTCTTCTTCTTCTTCTTCTTCTTCTTCTTCTTCTTCTTCTTCTTCTTCTTTTTCTTGTTCTTCTTCTTCTTCTCTTCTTCTTCTTCTTCTTCTTCTTCTTCTTCTTCTTCTTCTTCTTCTTCTTCTTCTTCTTCTTTCTTCTTCTTCTTCTTCTTCTTCTTCTTCTTCTTCTTCTTCTTCTTCTTCTTCTTCTTCTTCTTCTTCTTCTTCTTCTTCTTCTTCCTCTTCTTCTTCCTCTATTTCTTTCTTCTTCTTCTTCTTCTTCTTCTTCTTCTTCTTCTTCTTCTTCTTCTTCTTCTTCTTTCTTCTTCTTCTTCTTCTTCTTCTTCTTCTTCTTCTTCTTCTTCTTCTTCTTCTTCTTCTTCTTTTTCTTCTTCTTCTTCTTCTTCATCATCATCATCTTCTTGGCCGTTGGTGTTCACTTGTTTTTGCTACAATTGGGCACCAAAACACAACCGGGAAAACAAATATAATTAGCGTTAGATTATCTCACTACTTCTTGTTTTTACTGTTTGTGTGTGTATGTGTGCGTGAGTGATTGTGTGTGTGTGTGTGATTAGTATGATTATTTTTAGTATCCGTTACCCTTAAAATGATGTTTGAGGTTTTGACCAACGAATCAACATCATGGCACACGGGTAGTAACCCATAAGTGCTCCGTTCTTCGTGTAACTCAAGTTTGAGTCAGAAAAAGCTCAGCACAGTATTACTGTATTACTGGCGAGGATAATGAAGTACTTTGAGCAGATTTTTAACTCCAAATTTTGCCCAAGCAGCGCCATTACACTACTCTTTTCGATTTCCGACTGCCAATGGATTTTTTTTACTTGCGCAACAATGGCCACCAGCGTTGATCTGACTACCCAGAGACCAGGGGGAGATTACTAGAAGTCCAAGTCCACGTTGAAAAGTTCCAGCCCTTACCGGGGATTGAACTGCGTCTCTAGCACTGGAGACGGACATCATGCCTCGAGACCACGCACCCACTGACCCCACCCCCCCCCCCCAACCCCATTGTGTTTAAATGCTGGTTGGCATGTTGTGATGTCGTTTACAGGTAGTCTGAAAATCTTTAATTAGTCACCTTCTACGACATGCATAAAAACCGGCAGTGTGTTTATTTTTTCTCTCCCCTGTCTCTCCACCTTTCCCAGCGGGGGTTTCTGGAACCCTGGCAATTTCAATTCTTTAGATACATTAACTCCAAGCCGAAAGAAATCTCCCACGCACGAATTATGAAAGGAAAGAGCTTCCATCTTGCAGAACAGTTAGCTGTTCCACAGAGGAGGCTCTTGCATCTAGACTCAAATTTGGGAAAACATCCGAAAACGAAGCCAACGAAACTAGAAGCGGGTTAATTTAAATTCAGACCCGGAGTTCAAAGATGCGAATCTGTTTCGTTTTTCGAATTCTTCTGTGTGTAATCATTTACTTGTAAAATAATGGCTGGGTTTTACTGCTGTAAATATTTTTACAGATATAGCTTGCAGCTGAATGCCGCTTGTATTATTTTTTCCTGTGTGGTGATCTTCTTTATTTTACCTTACCTTCTTCCGGTTTTTCTGTAGAAATTTCATAGTCGTTAGGTTTTGTTTGTGGAACGTAAATATATAGGTTTTCGTGGATAAGTTCTTGAGGCAACTCTGTTAACGAAACTGCGGTAAGATTCATGGACTTCGATAGAAGACGATAAGAAATAAGAATTTATAAAAAAATTTCAAAAGGGGTGGGGGGGGGGGGGTGGGGGGGGGGGGGGGGGTGGGGGGGGGGGGGGGGGGGGGGGGGGGGGGGGGAGAGAGAGAATGTCATGGACGCAGTTGTAGATGTATGAATATTTTTTAGAGATGTTTCGAAAGTGGCGCGTTTGCGCACCGTTATACATTTTGAAGATCAGATTAATCGAGACAGACCGAAGAAAACCGATATGGAACGATATTGGCTGTTTAATTATTACTCACAGCTTAGATTTATTCTTTTAAATATCCAACGACATTTTAAAAATCCACACTGGTCAATATTCTAGTTGTCACTTGTGCTACAACTGAGGTTTGTATAGGTTCTATATTGTGGTCTGCTTAACAATTTTATTTTTTCAGTAGTACCCGAAAAGGGGCACTTTATTTTTAATTTTCACCAGCAAAACAAATACCGGAGTTTCCGGGAAAATCCCACATTCTATGGGTTCTTTAGGTTACGCTCAGGATCTTTGTCAGCTCCGACCATCTCAGAGATATAGCCCTAACCCTAACCCGAAGTCTAACCATAACCCGTAACACTTTTAGAATATTTGACTTTCCCAGAAACTTAGAGATTTTCTTTGTTTAGGGTGAATTAAAAATAAAGTAGCGACGAGGTCCCTGACAGAAAATATAATCGGGCACAATTTGTCATTTTCACTTCCCTCCCCTGCCACGTCGTCTAAACGGAATTGCGAGGGCTGGTGTCGATCTAACTGTGATAAGGTGATGATCTCTAGCCGGTCTTTATTCTGCTGTGTGACCATCTCACTTCCATTAACAAACAAACAAACCATAATGAAAATTTTAAAAATCTACAAGAACAGTCTTTGTGGCCCTCAAATGTCGGCCGCCTAATTCAAACCTTAGTACTTTGTGAGGTTTGTAAAACACGTTGACTAACGACTATGACACAGTGAGAATCTCTGACAGTAAAGCATGGGAAAGCAGGTCTAGGCCGTCTTCGAGGCCGAGATAGGAGACAATATAACCAGCTTCTCATGGCAACAATTAGTAGAAGTACTTTGGAGTGGCTGCTCTTCTAATAGGGATAATAGTTAGAGAAAAAATGAATAAAGTTCTACGTGCTTTCCGATGGTCTTGGGTGACCCCTGTGAGCGGGTTTTGGCCCACAGGTTGAGAACCGCTGTGCTAAAGGCACCACATAGTTATCGGTTGTGCCGCTTATATCTTATATCGGAAGCGCACACACGAGTCGTCCCGTCATCGGAGCGATAAAGGCACACGAGCAGACAAGATTGCCCATGGCGGTGAAATCATTAAACTAGCGTTGGGACACGGATGAAGTCACAGGCGCTGAAACACGTGAGTCTAGCCGCATTGGGCCTCCTCCCCCTCCCACCCCACACATACACTCAAGGAGGCATAGGAAGACCTGCCTAACCAGCCCACACCCAGCTGCAGTTACTACTACTGCTGTTGATAATACTAATGCTACTACTGCTGCTGCTACTACTACTGCCACTACAACTACTGCTGCTGCTACTAATACTTCTACTACTACTACTGCTGCTACTACTACTACTACTACTACTACTACTACTACTACTACTACTACTACTACTACTACTACTACTACTACTACTACTACTACTTCTACTACTACTGCTGCTACTACTAATACTACTTCTACTACTACTACTACTACTGCTGCTGCTGCTACTACGTTACAATTCTTAGAAAGACCATCTGTCCAGAAGATGAAAGACACCGACATACTACATGATCTGAGCATCATGGGAAACTGGCTCATAAACAGCATCCTGACATTGAAGATGCAATGGAGAAGCATAAATGAATGGAAGTTTGAGGTTTGAACAACGGATCAACATCATGGCACATAAGTGCTTCGTTCTTCTTCTAACTCACGTCCAAGTCCGAAGAAGCTCAGCACAGTGCACAGGCTCTGTAGCACCGGCGAGGATCCTGAAATACTTTCGGCAGATTTTTAACTCCAAATTTTTGCCCTGGCAGCGCAGTTAGGCTACTCTTTTCGATTTCTAACTGCCAAGGGATTTTGTGTGTGTGTGTGTGTGTGTGTGTGTGTGCGCGCAACAATGCACACGGGCGTCCGTTCTCTCTACCCAATGAATAGGGGGAATTACTAGAAGTCCAAGTCCACGTGAACAAATTCCAGCCCTTACCGGGGATTGAACTCGGAACATCTAGCACTCGAGGCGGACACCCAGCCTGGAGTCCACGCAGTTACCCTTTAGGGATGTCATGACGAGAGTGATGTTGTCTATAGGACCTGTTGATTACTTGATTAACTGATTATTGTTATTATTGATACATAATTTTATTCTAAAACAAAAGATGTTTCAACGATAGCGGCTTGTAGGGTCGTCGAAACACCAGTCTTAAGCCAAGATAGAGGGAAACTTCCCGCTACCTTCACCCGAACAATATACCGGAAATTTATAGATGCGAGACTAGGAAAGAAATAACTGCTTTAGACTAGAAAAAAAAAAAAAAATTATTAGACAAATTTGAGAACAAATGTCATAGAATAATACCAAATCTCCAATGGACAGATTTCAGATCCAATACGCAAATAAGACAAGAGACCAAACAAGAAAATTTGACCAGACCCCCGTTTTATACACACACGCATTCAAAATTCCTACTGGAGAGAGAAGACATTATGACCGTTTATGAACGAATGCTGACAGAAGACACAATGTTAGATGCAACAACATATCTGTGTATCTGTGTGAACGAGCAATTAAGTGTTCATCATTCAAGAAAGGCCCTATTAGGAGAAGAGAACAACGAGTTCATAATCACTATATTACGGTTAGCCTCTACACCTTAGGACAGCTGCGGGAGACAGCACACAAATGTTTTCTTTTTTTCGGCGCTTCCTGCCCAAGTACACTCACTGTGAAAGTTCACAAGATTTGATAATTCCAAGATGAAGATTAGAGGGACATTTTTTGTCAGGAAAACGACTTGGTCGTGACAGCAGACGTCAGAACGGGTGAATGTCAAGGACTCGGCGGGGTCACGTCTGGATGCAGGTATGAAGTGCAATCAAGTACATCTCAGATGAAACGGCCATCGAGCTCCCAGTACAAGAAAGAGAAGTTTAGGTAGATCAACGACTGGTTGGAGGGTCTTGGCTCTTGTTTGGGTCATTTGGTGCAGCGATTTTATCTTTGATGATACCAGGCGCCAAGAGCAAAAGCGACCGGTCATGGGTGGTGAAACATGGGAGCTCGACCCTGTCTGCGCCAGAAAACAAAGTGTATGTGTGTGTGTGAAAAAAAGGGGGGGGGGGGCAAATCTATTATAGATCTCATTGTATATTCACTGTCTAATGAAACAAAATCAGGTGATAGTACAAATCGTTTTTGGCTCTTTTTGGCTGTCCAAGGAATTCTAGAGATTCTTCTATAAAATAGGGCTGTACCTAATATTCGCTTCGGGGCCGAATAGTGGACCTATTGACTATTCGGTATCCGAATAGTTGCGGTCGGGCCGAATACGAATAGTGGTTACCTTATACCCGCTTCTGCATACACGGCCTTAATGCTGACAACATGGAACGATTGGTTTTGTTGAAAGCTAATGCAGCTTTCCTGCCTTAACTAAGCTGTCAGTGACAATTCCAAGTTTAGTTACTTGTTATAATACTTAGGATTCTTTCATTCCTAAGTATTAGTTACCCGAGACTGACATTTTTATCACGGTATAGGGCGTCGCAGGTCGGCCCAGCCTAAAATGGGTACCAGGATGGAGGTCCCGGGGAAGTAAAGACGGCCGGCGTAATGCTGAACACATTACCCACTTAGTGCCGATGGTCTGTAAAATATGGGCGCTTTTCCCATATACGAGATACGCCTAAAGGCGTGAAAAGGGATCTTTACATTTTTGTATGCCACTGAGCGTTACCCTCCCATTAGTAAGTTGACAATAAAATAAATTATAAGCAATATACACACACACACACACACACACACATATATATATATATATATATATATATATATATATATATATATATATATATATATATATATATATATATATATATACACGTATCGTTCGACCCCCAAACGGGGGGTTTATCATAAGGTGCTCTGCTGTTATACGTATATGATCATGTTTCCCACAATCTGCAGCCTTCGACACCATGTCTCAGTATGTGTTTGTGTGCCTTCTGTGCACTAATACAAGTCTGCCAAGAATTCTCTCGCTTTATCTTCATCTGTTTCCTTGTCCACATATCTTTCCAGTTGTCAAAACACGTCGCAGTATCTTTTCTCTACAAAATTACCAAAAATTGATAACTGTCACTTTCTGATGTTTGCCTCTTTCGAAACATCTTAAGGCTGCTCTGTTTGGCAGTCCAAGGAATTCTTAGAATTATTTCGTAAAACTACATCTTTAAGGCCTCAAGATAATGTTCCGCACGTTTATCCATCATAATCAATCATCAATCCTCCTTATGCCTAGTGGCACATGCCTCTTCAGAGACGACTTTCCATGCTTTCCTGTCCTGTGCAATCTTCAGTGCAGTTTTCCATGTCTGAGATGCCGAACTCAGGTCACTTTCCATCGTCGTCTCCATGTTGTTTTTGGGCTCCATTTTTTCTCTTTCCCTCTGGTATCTATGTGAGCTGCTTTGACAGCTATATCTGGATTCATTCTCAAAATGTGGCCAAGCCATTTACATCTTCTCTTGGTTATCATACTGTCTAGAGTGTCTTAGTTTGTGACTTGAAGTAGTTTAGTATTTGAGATTTTAACTGGCCAGAGAATTTTGATAATTCTACGTAAACATGTGTGGTGAAAGGTGGATAGCTTGTGTGTATCCTTTTAGGTCATTCTCCAGCATTCTGCTCCATAAAAAAGATCTGGCAAAATGATGCTCTTGTAGAGTCGGAGTTTCGTTCCTCTGCAGTAACTGTTGGATTTCCAGATTTGCCTCATCCTTCCAAAAGCAGCTCTAGCTTTGTTCATGCGTGACTGTATGTCTTCCTCTGTCCCTCCTAGTGGGAACACCACACTACCAATATATGTGAAATGTTCTACAATTTTTATTGTTCGGTTATTTATGGTCACTGTTTGTTGGTCGTGTATCCATATATATATATATATATATATATATATATATATATATATATATATATATATATATATATATATATATATATGGAGAGTGGGAGAAAGAGAAAGCTCTCACTTTTGTGTCTCCGAAAGTTAAAAAAAAAGAAATATCAAAGGACCCTTCAGTTGAATAGGTGTTTTAGGTCTAGACAATTCCTCATTTTGTGTGCGTTTTGATCAACATCGCGCCGGCCACCTTTACTTTCCATGACGTTACATAGTACCTAACTAACCCTGGGCGACCAGAGAGCCAATATCACCTTTGAAAAAAAAAAAAAAGCCAGGATCAGAACCAAAGACCTTTGGATTTGCAGGCGAACGTCTGCTCTCTACACCACGACGGCTCTACCAGGTGTGGTTACTGGTTGATAATTTAGTAATATATCTGGTGAGTATATCTGGCTAATCCACACAAGGTGGCAAATTTGGTAATATCTCTGGTAAAAATTATCTGGGGACTCCACAAATGGTTGCAAATTTGTGATGTCTCAGTGTCTTCTGCAGATAGTCACAGATTGTTAGTTTTACGAGTGTCTTTATGCTCCACAGGTAGTTACAGATTACTCTCATTGGTGTGTCTTTATGCTCCACAGGTAGTTACAGACTACTCTCATTGCTGTGTCCTTATGTTCCACAGGTAGTTATAGATTACTCTCATCGGTGTGTCCTTATGTTCCACAGGTAGTTAGAGATTACTCTCATTGGTGTTTCTTTATGCTCCACAGGTAGTTACATATAACTCTCATTGGTGTGTCTTTATGTTCCACAGGTAGTTACAGATAACTCTCATCTGTGTGTCTTTATGTTCCACGTGTAGCTACAGATAACTCTCATCTGTGTGTCTTTCTGCTCCACAGGTAGTTACAGATAACTCTTATCTGTGTGTCTTTATGCTCCACAGATAGTTAAAGATAACTCTCATCTGTGTGTCTTTATGCTCCACATAAAATAACTCTCATCTGTGTGTCTTTATGCTCCACAGGTAGTTACAGATTACTCTCATTGTGTGTCTTTATGCTCCACAGGTAGTTACAGATTACTTTCGTTGGTGTGACCTTGTGTTCCACATGCAGTTAGAGATTAGTCTCATTGGTGTGTCTTAATGCTCCACAGGTAGTTACAGATTACTCTCTTTGGTGTTTTTTATGCTCCACAGGTTGTTACAGATAACTCTCATCTGCGTGTCTTTATGCTCCACACGTAGCTACAGATAATTCTCTTCTGTGTGTCTTTATGCTCCACAGGTAGTTACAGATAACTCTTGTCTGTGTGTCTTTACGCTCCACATATAGTTAAAGATAACTCTCATCTGTGTGTCTTTATGCTCCACAGGTAGTTACAGATAACTCTCATCTGTGTGTCTTTATGCTCCACAGGTAGTTACAGATAACTCTCATCTGTGTGTCTTTATGCTCCACAGGTAGTTACAGATAACTCTCATCTGTGTGTCTTTATGCTCCACAGGTAGTCGCAGATAGCGTCACCCGAGCGTGCAAGTGCCATGGCGTCTCAGGCTCGTGCTCCATAAAGACCTGCTGGCGCTCACTGCCCAGCTTTGACACTATCGGGGCCACCCTGAAAGAAAGATACGCCCTTGCTGTCGAGGTACTTTACAATAGTGTTATCCTTACTTATTAAAGGAACGGCTAAAAAGCTTTTACATGCGATGCCCAAGAAGAATACTTTGCTTTAAATGGCAGGACAAGAAAACAAATGTTGAAGTATCAGAAAGAGCAGGTATTACAACAATCTAATCAATGCTCAGTCGACAAAGGCTCTGATGGCTGGGTCACACCTGGAGAATTGAGGATGGCAGCGTCCCTAAGGACGTGCTCCGTGGTGAATTAAAGAGGGGTAGAAGATGTCGAGGCCGACCTCTGCTACGATATAAAGATTGTGCAAGCGGGACATGAATGATACAGATACTCAGGTGGACTAGTGGGAGCAGGAAGCCAAGTACAGTATTGAGGTGGCACATCGGGAGGAAAACGAGAATGATGGAAGAAATGACTGCTGAGAAATGAGAAGCCAGCGTCTGAGAAGAAACAGACTAAACACAACTGTTGAAAACGGTCTTGAAATCCCATGCTATAACTGTGGAAGACTTTTCTTATAGCGGTCGGGTCTCGTTAGTCACACTCGCCATCGCCGTGGGCTGTGAGTCCCATGCTTCCCGATAGTGCAGTACAACACTATTGTCTAGAAAGACGGAAAGGTACCAATCATCCTTACTTATAGTGTGTTACATAAAGATTATTAGTGGTTGATTGGAGTCAAGAACTGACAACACAGCACAAGGGCCATTCCCATTCGTGCTCCGTCCTTATCTTCAGCAGCCAGCGTAGAGTTCCAATACTGATGGTACCCGTCACGATCTGATTGTTTGTCAGTCTCGCCTTTCCTCTGAGTGCAGTGAGCCGGCCAGACCCTCAGGTTACACCCAGCTGCCTCTTTCTGACTACGTTGCTTGTTCACAAACGGCCTGACCATATCTGCCTAGTCATGTATAAATTCAACATCCAGTGGTGCAGTTCAGTGCAGTGGTCACTACCCGTGACGTTCCCAGTGAAGCTTGCCACTCTGCTCAAAGCATCCCTGTCTTCACGTTTCTCAGCATGCTTTCAGAGTCTGTTACAGTTACGACACATGCAATGCATTTTATTCTCTAGCCACCGGAGAGCTGCAGTTACCGCCCCCACCTCCATTCTCATGCTAGATGTTGTGGTATTATACACTAGGCTGTCCTGCACGAAAGATTTTCGCTACGAATTCCCAGACGCTTTTCTTCCCTCTTAACCCCAAACCATATGTATAGATTAGTGATTCCCAAACTGTGCGCCGCGGCGCTCCGAAGAGCCGCGATCTCTTCCCAGGGAAGCCACGAAATATACGAAGATACACAATTTATTTTTCTCTTACATATAAAGTCATACTTTTACTTAGGTTAGGGTGCCGTGGCAACATTTTTACTGAAAAAAAGGTGCCGCGACTAAAAAAAAAAGTTTGGGAAAACACTAGTATAGATATCAGATCTTTTATGGTTGAAAACATTACCTATGTCCGACTCAATTTTTTTTTTTTTTTAGTTCAAACAAATTTATTAGTGAAAGTTGTGCAACCACTAGAGATGGAACGACAGGTAAATGCTATAGGACCTCTGGTCACATTGTAGAGAGAGAAAAAAAACATAGACTTACTGCCTCCCCAATAAGCATGTCGTTAGAGTCGACTAACTGGAGGCTTGCTTAGAAGCTGATGTACATTTGCCTGAAAGGCAAGGAACCAACAATCTGCATTGAAATAAGTTAGAACTGTAAATCGGACGTGCGCGCACCACTTAGGTTTTGTAACAAGATTAAAGTCCAGAGGTGGACGAACAACCAGAGCGTTCTTCTGGAGTTTACAGCTGATGAGAACGCCAATAAGAAATATAAGAAATGCATTTGAAAACAAATACCTGAGGAATATGTTTAACACAAGATGGACATGAATTCAAAAAGGGAGAATGAAAAGAGAAATAACTGGACAATCACTGGTAACAACAGTTCAAAGACAAAGAAGACAGAGCTTTACTGGACGCATCAGGAGAAGAGAGGAGAAGAGCATAGTCAGACAGGCATTGCAAATGGAAATAAAGGGAATAAGGAAGCTAGGACAACCAAAAGAAACCCTAAGACGGACGTTAATGAGAGAGGCCAAAGCTGTTGTACTGGATTTCATGCATGATCTTGAACTGATTGCACTGCATGGACCAGAATGGATGAATAGACTGCGAGTTCTGTGTGACATATGACGGCACAGCATGACAATGAATGCATGAAAAAGCCGTTAGAAAAGGGCTTGCTAAAAAAAAAGGTTGTTTTTGCTTGAAATGCAAATATATAGTAACCTGAATGTAAATCACAAGTTGCAAATCGCCTTTTTAGCAGCGACAACAGATGAAGAAAAAGCTTTTAAGACATTGGAAAAGTCAGTAGTTATTTCTTCTTCTTCTTCTTCTTCTTCTTCTTCTTCTTCTTCTTCTTCTTCTTCTTCTTCTTTTTCTTTTTTTTCTTCTTCTTCTTCTTCTTCTTCTTCTTCTTCTTCTTTTCTTCTTCTTCTTCTTCTTCTTCTTCTTCTTCTTCTTCTTCTTCTTCTTCTTCTTCTTCTTCTTCTTCTTCGTCTTCTTCTTCTTCTTCTTCGTCTTCTTTTTCTTCTTCTTCGTCTTCTTCTTCTTCTTCTTCTTCGTCTTCTTTTTCTTCTTCTTCGTCTTCTTCTTCTTCTTCTTCTTCTTCTTCTTCTTCTTCTTCTTCTTCTTCTTCTTCTTCTTCTCTTCTTCTTCTTCTTCTTCTTCTTCTTCTTCTTCTTCTTCTTCTTCTCTTCTTCTTCTTCTTCTTCTTCTTCTTCTTCTTCTTCTTCTTCTTCTTCTTCTTCTTCTTCTTCTTCTTCTTCTTCTTCTTCTTCTTCTTCTTCTTCTTCTTCTTCTTCTTCTTCTTCTTCTTCTTCTTCTTCTTCTTCTTCTTCTTCTTCTTCTTTTCTTCTTCTTCTTCTTCTTCTTCTTCTTCTTCTTCTTCTTCTTCTTCTTCTTCTTCTTCTTCTTCTTCTTCTTCTTCTTCTTCTTCTTCTTCTTCTTCTTCTCTTCTTCTTCTTCTTCTTCTTCTTCTTCTTCTTCTTCTTCTTCTTCTTCTTCTTCTTCTTCTTCTTCTTCTTCCTCTGCTTCTTCGCGTTCACCAGCTGTATGCTCCGGCGGAAAGTTCTGGTCGTTCATCCACTTCCGGACTGCAGTCGTGTTCCAGAAACTGATTGTTGCGCGTTAATCCGTTTTACAGATCTGACACATTTGTTTGCAGACTATTGGTTTCTTGCCTCTTAGGCAGATAAAATCCGACTTGGAATGAAGCTCCTGATTACTCGACTTTTTCGATATGCTGTTTGATAGGCAGTGGGTCTATTCTTGTTTTCCCCACAACAGGGACCCTGAACCCATACAGGGAATCTTTTATTTGCTAGGGGTCAAATGCTAAATATTTCTGACCAGGGATATTTGGCTGTGGTGGTACACAGAGGTTCGCATTACCGGCACATTTTTAACTCTTTTAGTACCAAGGAACTAACCATGCGTTGAGTGGTTATACTATATGTGGATTAATCAAGTAACAGAAAGTATTGTGAACGGCACTCATAGAAAGAAGTAGAAAGATAGAAGAACACACTAGACAACATAAAAATCGAAAGCTATAGTTACCGTGCCGGGAATTGTACCTGTCACCTCCAGACGGCGTCTGCGCCTCGCCATGAATACAAGTGCACTAAGATACATGGTCAACTAGGCACCCCCAAAAAAAGGTGTGGTACGCATATATTTACTTGTCAGTTTTTATATCACCATTTCCTGCAAGGTTGCAGTTTTTCAGCTCTGTGAGATTAAATCGTTGTTGCTCTAGCATACACAAAGTGCGGTGTTGCGTGGTCTCGAGGCATGGCGTTCACCTAGAGTGCTGGAGCTCCTGGGCTTAAGCCCCGGTGAAGCCTGGGATTTCTTCCCGTGGACTTAAGGAGAAGAAGAAGAACAACAACACCAACAAGAAGAACAAGAAGAAGAACAAGAAGAGGAACAAAAAGAAGCACAAGAAGAAGAAGAACAAGAAGAAGAAGGAGGAGAACAAGAACAAGAAGAACAAGAAAAAGAAGAAGGAGAGCAAGAACAAGAAGAACAAGAACAAGAAGAACAAGAAGAAGAACATGAGGAGGAGGAATACAAATAGAAATAATAATAATTCAACACCATGCCAGATTGGAAAAGGGTTCTTTACTTTTAATTACTTTCTACTTCTGCCAGGTGAGGAGAAAACGGGTGAAGAAAGAGAAAGTTCTAGAGCCCATCCACAAAGGGAAGCCATCTTTCCAGTCGGATGAGTTTGTTTATTATGAAAAAAGTCCTGACTACTGCAGTCCTGATGAGAAAACGGGATCTGTGGGGACAATAGGCAGGTGAGAATCATTCCTGTGTGTCTGTTTGATACGTTTTACACAATAAAGACAGTTGTTTCTTCTTCTTCTTCTTCTTTGCGTTCACCAGCTGTAAACTCTGGCGTCAAGTTCTGGTTGTTCATCCAATTTTGGACTGCAATCGTGTTCCAGAACCTGAGTGTTGCGTGTGCGTCCGTTTTAAAGATCTGACTAGTTTGTATGCAGACTGTTGGTTCCTTGCCTTTCAGACAGATGCACTCTGACTTCGAAGGAAGCTTCCAATTAGTCGACTCTTATGACATGCTGTTTGGGTACTCAGTGGGTTTATTCCCCCTCCACAATAGGACTCCGGAACCCACACGGGGAAAAGACAGTTGTGAACTACACCTTTGTGTTTGATACGTTTTACCTAATGAGTAGGTGTGAAATATACCTTTGTGTCTCTTGTATTTTTTTGATACATTTTACCTAATGACAGTAGGTGTGAACTTCTTTTGTGTCGGTTTGATGTGTTTTACATAAGGAAAACATGTGAGAAATATACTTTTTGTGTTTGTTTAATACGTTTTGAATAATGACAGTAGCTGTGAAATTTACAGCTGTGTGTGTTAGATAACTTTTAAATAGTGATAGTAGATGTGAAATACATCTTTGTGTTTGTTTGATACCTTTTACGTGACGAAGACAGGGGCGAAAAATACATCTGTGTTTTTTTCTTTTCTTTTAGATAATGTTAGTAAAGTGTGAAATATAATTGTGTGTCTAGATGATACGTTTTTACATAATGATAGTAGGTGTGAAATATATCTTTGTGTCTGATACATTTTTCTTTATGACAGCAGATGTGAATTAAACCTTTGTGTCTGTTTGATACTTTTTACATAAAAGCAGGTGAAAACACTCTTGTCTCTATTTCATACGTTTAAGCTATTGATTGTGAGTTCTGGGTTCCCATTTTATGGGAAAAAGAATAGACATTGCACCCAAGAAGCATGTTTAGAAGCCGACTAATTAGATGGTGTTTCTTTCAAAGTTGAAGTGCATCTGCCTGAGAGGCTGGGAACCAACACTCTGCATGCACATAAGCCAGATCTGTAAAACAGATATGCACACATACAGATACAGATACTATGCACTTTTTACATAAAAGCAGGTGAAAACACTCTTGTCTCTATTTCATACGTTTAAGCTATTGATTGTGAGTTCTGGGTTCCCATTTTATGGGAAAAAGAATAGACATTGCACCCAAGAAGCGTGTTTAGAAGCCGACTAATTAGATGGTGTTTCTTTCAAAGGAAGTGCATCTGCCTGAGAGGCTGGGAACCAACACTCTGCATGCACATAAGCCAGATCTGTAAAACGGATATGCACACAAAAACTCAAGTTCGAGAACAAGATTAAAGTCTAGAAGTGGACGAACAACCAGAACTTTCCACTGGCGTTTAAAACCGGTGAATTTATAAAGAAATATATGTGGAAACCGTGCTAATACCTAATTTCAAATTCTTGTTGTTTGATTTACTTATGTGTTTAGTACCCTTTCGTCGAATTACCTTTCAAACAACTTGTTTGTTTTCTACGTAGAAATACCTTCTCTCAGGATTAGCCGTGGTGTAGTGGCTACACGCTCGGCTACGGATCTATAGGTCGTAGGTTCATGTCCTGACGGAATCTAACTTTTTTTTCTGAAAAAATATTTACCTTGGCTTTCAGGTCGACCTAGCCTTAAAATGGGTACCAGGCAAAGTTGAGGGAAGTAAAAGAGGCCAGCCTGGTGTTGACAACACCACCCACTTAGCGCAGATTGGTCTATAAAATACAGGTCTAATTCATATATGTGCAATGCTCCAGAAGCAACTGGCACATACATTTGCTGCTAGGGCATATTTCTGGACTGTTCCAGTGCGACAGGGAGGGACATTTCATTTGATTTGCTCTGGCACAGTAACGGAGTATGTGTGGGGAAACCCGATTGCAACGAAGTTGAAACATCGTCTAAGATAAGACACCTAAAGGTGTGGAAAAGGGTCCCTTATTTTAATACCCTCTTTTTCTGCTAACGCTTCCAATAAATAAATTGTTGGGGGTGCCTAGTTGACCATGTTCTTAGTGCACTTGTATCCATGGCGAGGCGCACACGCCGTCTGGAGGTGACGGGTTCAATTCCCGGCACGGTAACTATAGCTTTCGAGTTTTATGTTGTCTAGTGTGTTCTTCTATCTTTCTGCTTCTTTCTATGAGTGCCGATCAATACACTTTCTGTTACTGGATTAATACATAATATTTAACGGCCTCAAAGGTTTCCCCCTCTGTTTATTTATAGGAATGACGTATACACACCGGAAGCTGCCAATCAAATACTTTTCTTAAATGTGTGTGTATTCTAGGGAAAGCATTCAGTTCTACTGTGTTCGTAAATTGTTGCTGTGATTGTTATTCGACATATGCTTCGTTAATATACATTTCTGTAACCTATGGTGCCATTTCAATGGTTTAAAATGAATTATGTCCGTATTTCATAGTTGTGGATTTCAAGCTGTATGATAGATATGGCCAATAAGACACCTTTTTTTTTTGGGGGGGGGGGGGGGACTAGTTGGCCACGTTCTTAGTGCACTTGTATCCATGGCGAGGCGCACACGCCATCTGGAGGTGACAGGTTCAATTCCCAGCACGGTAACTATAGCTTTCGATTTTTATGTTGTATGGTGTGTTCTTTTATCTTTCTACTTCTTTCTATGAGTGCCGATCAATACACTTTCTGTTACTGGATTAATTCATAACGCTTAAAATAACTGACATATGTATCTTTATTTTCAGGTTATGTGAAGCAGACACTAGACTTCCCGGGAACTGCGAGTCGATGTGTTGCGGTCGGGGACACGATAACTTTACCATGGAAGTCACAGAAAGGTGTGAATGCAAATATTACTGGTGCTGCTACGTCAAATGCAACACTTGTGTCAAAATTTTGAAGCTAAACCAGTGCCGATAACACAACACAACAAACGATGGAGAATCTGACACACAAGACTTGTGTCCAAACTGGCAATGGTTTTTGGTCTTACTTGTGACTCAGTTTCTGACCATCAGCAAAGTTTAAATGTTTGGACAGGCAAATTGCTTAACGTCAAATAACATTTCGTTTCTCCAGGAGTATGAGACTGAAGCTTTTTACAGAGATGCCTAGTTCGATTCTTTACCTCTGACGGGTTTATGATAACGAGTTGTGTATTTTGTGAATAAATGTATTTAAAACATTTGTGGTTGTATAATTTAAAGGGGTATTTGGCGATGTGTAATAATCGCTGGTGTTGAGTGTGTATTTGAAAGCCGAACTTTGTTAACATTCATGATAGAAGCCAGATAGAAACCAGATTGCAGACGGCAAAGGTCGTGACTACCAATTAGCTCAACAGCTTAGACACCCACATGTCTTCCTTCCAGCAAAACAGCTAATGTTAATATAATCTTTATACCTATTTTATTATATCAGCGCTAGACATGAGCATTAAAAAGGCGCACAAATAGAAAATAGGGCTCTTTATTATAATCTTACCCCCCAGATGAAGTCACAGGACAGTCCAACATTTTAGAGGCTGGTGAGACTTTCTGATACTTCTAACGACCCCAAAACATCTAAAACTGGCCCTAACCCCAACCCACCTAAGCCCCACGAGAGAGTGCAGCCTAGGTCCCACGACTGCATGTAGCCTAGGTCCAGCAACTGCATGCAGCCTATCTAACACCACCTGAGATATACTGCCCCGTGACCTGTGGATTTCCCCTGCTTGGGGAAGGATATTAATAAAGCACCGAACAAAATACCTGTTAAATGTGGTGTCTCCATAAGGTCACTACTAACAAAAGAAGGGTTAGGGTTACGAATACCAGCATTGGAGGCAAAGTTGGAATAATAACGTGTTTGAATTATATTGACAGAAAAAGAATGAAATGGTTTGGCCATCGAGAGAGAATGCAGCGATGTCAAACTGTTTATGGGAGTTTTTTTTTAGGAAAAAGGGTAGGGGAAGAATAAGAAAGAGATGGGTAAATTATGTAGCTAAAACCTGAAAAAAAAAAAAAAAGAATAAATCTGTCACCCGAAGCACATGACAAAGGTAGAAAACCACGACACCGGGCTACAACCCGGTATCAGTGAGATGACAAAACCACAACACCGGCTACAACCCGGTATCAGTGAGATGACAAAACCACGACACTGGGCTACAACCCGGTTTCAGTGAGATGACAAAACCACGACACCGGGCTACAACCCGGTTTCAGTGAGATGACAAAACCACGACACCGGGCTACAACCCGGTATCAGTGAGATGACAAAACCACGACATTGGGCTACAACCCGGTATCAGTAAGAGGCACTGTCATCCCTAGGGGTCACTGAACTTGTCCGCTGGTTTTAGAGACAGCACCTTCTATGACTGTAAAGTCCTGGGTGTCAGTATCAGCTTCTGTCACACAGACTGCTTGAAACCAATGGCATTCTGATGGTGGTTTTCCTCTAAGAAAAGTTAAATTGAGTTGAGTCAAGAATTGACATCGCAGCACTCGGGAAATTTCCATGCATGCTCCGTCCTCATCTTCAACAGCCAGCACAAAGTTCCTATACTGATGGTACCCGTCACAATCTGGTTATATGTCCGTCTTGCCTTTCCTCTGAGTGTAGTCAGTCGGCCAGACCCTCTGGTTACACCCAGGTGCCTTTTTCTCCCCAGGCCATAATAATCCTCTTTCTATACTAATTCCGTTGCTTGTTCCCAAAGAGACTAAACCACATCTGCCTTTTCATGTATAAATTTACAATCGAATTTTGCAGATTCAGCCAGTCTATCTGCCTGTTTATTACCCGCCACGCCGACATTGCCTGGAGAAAAGATCCAAAGTGTGTTCCTTACCCGTGACTTTTCCAGTGAAGCTAGCCACTCTGCTCAAAGCATCCCTGTCCTCACCTTTCGCAACATGCTTTCAGAGTCTGTTACAATTACGAAGTGTCCTTTCTATAGCTTACTGCGTTTTACTTCTTGTAAATGCGACAGCCAGGCTTTCACTGTCTGCCTCCATAACAGTTTGTCTGCAGCTGATCTATCCAAAGTGTCTGTGTCACTGGTGCTATCTTCAGGTCACGTTTGCATATTTCCTTATAACGTTGATTTAGCCTTTCTTCCCCCACCCCCCCCCTCCCCCTTGTTCCCAGTTTATCGTACAGGAGACCCACTGGAATATGGGGCCCCTCCATGTGAGAGACATTTCCTTACAATGAAGTATGGATCAGTCGCAATCTGGTCTGTTCCAATCACAATGAAGATAAAACTGTATGGTACACGGGGAGATGTGGACTGCACGATAGCTTTCATTAAGTTTCTCACAGAAGAAACAAAGAAGAAGAAGTTGAAAATAAGGGGTCTTTTTCTGGACTGTTGGCCTATATAATATGTATGTGTGTGTGTATGTCATTACATTTGCCGTGTCTTTTTACCACTTATGGTTTGATATAGAAAGGGAATGTTGGATCCCGACGATTTCAGGTCGCCTGAGTAATAGAGTCGTCCCAAACTGTTGTCCCATAGAATCTGAGCACATGCCACATTGTTGTCACAAATATGATTTTATTTTATCCAAAAAGGACATATATAAATAAGAAACTATGTGTTGTTTGGACACTAGGTTTCCAGAAATGGCTCATTGCTTGAAATAGAAAGTGTTAAGCTTATATTAATTCAGATGTCAGAATTGACTTATGTTGTTTTCACAGAAAAGAACGGGTTTAAAGGGGGAATAACCGGTCCCCTAACTAGCGCGCCGTAAAATTATTTTACTGAAATAGAGTGTTGAGCCAAACGATGAAGATATCGCAACCAAGCTGTGGGGAGTTGCCGTGGCCGAACTGCTAGACGCTCGCCGCGGATCGGAAGGTCGTGGGTTCGCTCCTTATCGGAGCCGGACTTTTTTCAAAAATGACCTTGGCTCCCAGGTCGACCCAGCCTTGAGTGGGTACCGGGTGCAGTCCCAGGAAAGGGAAGGCGGCCGGCGTGATTCTGACCACATCACCCATCCTGTGCCGATTTGTCTATAAAAATATAGGTCTAGCCCTATACGCCTTAAGGCGTGGAAGGGGTCCTTTACTTTTTTTTTAATAACCTAGCTGTAAGCTGCAATACATCTCAGTAACGGATGTGTTAAGAGCGGACACTGAAGAAGCAAAAAAAGCAGAAGATAAAGAAGAAGGAAATAGGGGAGAGAAAAGAAGAAGAAGAGAAATACACACTTTCTCTGGATTGCATCCTTGTAAAGCCGGTTACATTTCATTTATTCTTCAAATTATGATTCTGCCCATCTAACTTTGATAACATTTTGCCTATGCTTTCCTGTCACCTAGAAATTAGTTAATGGAATAACGTATCTCCTGGTGGTTAGTTATATTTATAGACTATTCGAATATCTTCCAGAACCTTCGTTCACCACCTCCCCCCCCCCCCTCCCCCCGGTTGCTTGTTTACATCCCTATTACAGCCGTAAACCAGTTATCTCCCTGTGAGATACAATTTTTCATTATTTAAAGCCCTACTCTGGCTCTTGCAATACAGCCCGACCAAAAATATGGTCTAGTGGCTGAACGCGGTTTCTGGGACCTCTCAACGGTGATCCTCATCCACATGGTGGCATTTTGTGTCATCGGTTGTTTATCGCTTGTGTGATGTCCTAGCGGGGTGAACATCTATTACTACTACCCCTGGTCGAATTAGCCTATTCATTCGATCTTGCCACAACCATCATGAGCGGGTGTGTGTGTGTGTGTTAGTGTGGGTGTGAGAGTGTGTGTGTGTTCCATATTTCTATTAGTAGATGTTTCCTTTCCCTTCTATTACCTGCATTTATAGTGTTCTGTGGCTGCTAGCACCGCATTGGTAGTCATGTCCATCCACAGCCTTCTGCCTCGCGTATTTTCGCTCAGTTCTGACACAAGCGATCTTCCATACCATGATGCCAGACTGCCTGGAATCTTCCCTCTCTGTCTCCACATGCTTCCCCCCCCCCCCCTTTTTTTTTTCAAATTCTCTTTCGCCGATGTACCCCGTTGTTGTTCTCGTGTCATCACCAAAGAATGTAGACTGAGTTGAGTTGAGTCAAGAATTAACATTACAGCACCGGTCACAATCTGAGTATATGTCCGTCTTGCCTTTCCCCTGAGTGTAGTGAGCCGGCCAGCCCCTCTGTTTACACCCAGGTGCCTCATTCTCTCAAGGCCGTAATAATCTTCTGTCTCTACTGATTCCATTGCTCGTTCCCAAAGGGCCTTGACAACAGTTGCCTTGTCATGTATCAGTTAGCAGATTCAGACAATCTATCTGCTTGTTCATTGCACACTACCATGACATTGTATAGAGAAAAGATCCAAAGTATGCTCATTACCTGTGACCTTTCTAGTGAAGCTTGCCACTCTGCTCAAAGCATAGTATGTAGAATTTTTTTTTTTTTTTTTCATGTGGGTAATTAGTTCTCTTTGTGAGCCCGTTTCTTCCAAGATATCTTCATTATTCTTTTGATCTGCCCATGAGTCCGTGGCTTAGGCGCTGCGATTCCGATTCGTAATTCCATGTTACCGAGATCACAAACCACTGCTGGCTGCGTGGATTTTTATCATTGTGTGGGTTGTCGCAAATCAACCCAGCCGAAAATGGGTACCAGGATGTATGTCCTATGGTAGTTAAGACGGCTGGCCCCATTACCCACCTAGTGCCGATTGGTCTGTAAAAATATAGGTGCTCTTTCCATATGCCGGAGGCGCCCAATGCGTTAAATGGGATCTTCATGCATTCTATAATTCTGTAATTCTTCCTTCTTTCTGTTTAAACACTCGTTACTTAAAGGGGGGACATTTAAGTGTGAGTGGTTTGAGGTTTTCAACAACAGATCAGCACCATGGCACACAGGTAGTAACCCATAAGTGCTCTGTTCTACTTCTCTGAAGTCCCT